AAAGCCGGGGTCAGTGATCATTTCATTGAAGATTGTATCTAACTCCGGCATCAGATCGTCGTCGTCCTCCATCGGGGCAGGTGGTGGAAGCGGAAGTGTAGTCGTGGCTGTTTGTTTGTATGTCCGGTATACAAATTCGCAGTAGTTCACTAATTCAAACCAAAATTTCCATACATAGGTAAAAAAATACGGGGAAGACGATAGGCTATTTTAAAAAAATATATAAATCAATTATTAAAACTATATATTCAAATTATTCTACTTAGCTCACGAACAGTGCCCTCTATCAAAGATTAGATTAAATTATGCTGATGCAAACAAATAGATAATGCTAATAACAAACAATTATATAAAAAAAAATCTTATCTAAATGTATATCACTCGGGTAGATATGCACACGAGTCAATCCTGGGGCGAAGCCCGGGTCACCCGTCTAGTTATATATATAATATTACATATATAATATTAAAAAACGAAATAAAAAAATAAAAGATAAAAAGATCAGGTGTTGAAATCAATATAAAAAATGGCATATCCTGACCAGGAGCACATGTGCTTTACAGAAGGCAGAGCGCCATCTGGTGGAACAGAAATCAACTAAACATTGATTTAGCCTGTTCCCTGATATTTGGCCAACCCAATTTCTTGATAAATCAAGAAAAGCCATCCACGAACGCGTTTCGCGCTTTTTGGCGCTCGTCAGCGTGGAGTAGGCTGAACCATTGAGACCAAAAAAGATTTTTTGATCCCAATGGCCTCCTGAAAAACCAAGAAATGGGTATTTAAGGCCAAACTTGCGTAAATACGCTTAGCACATTAAAAAACGAAATAAAAAAATAAAAGATAAAAAGATCAGGTGTTGAAATCAATATAAAAAATGGCATATCCTGACCAGGAGCACATGTGCTTTACAGAAGGCAGAGCGCCATCTGGTGGAACAGAAATCAACTAAACATTGATTTAGCCTGTTCCCTGATATTTGGCCAACCCAATTTCTTGATAAATCAAGAAAAGCCATCCACGAACGCGTTTCGCGCTTTTTGGCGCTCGTCAGCGTGGAGTAGGCTGAACCATTGAGACCAAAAAAGATTTTTTGATCCCAATGGCCTCCTGAAAAACCAAATATCAGGGAACAGGCTAAATCAATGTTTAGTTGATTTCTGTTCCACCAGATGGCGCTCTGCCTTCTGTAAAGCACATGTGCTCCTGGTCAGGATATGCCATTTTTTATATATATAATATTGCATATGCAAATATATTATAAGATAATTTCTTCGTTGGTCTTGTAGAATGAGAGTGGTGCTCACATGTCTTAGTGCAAAACAGAAACATCTCTGTTAAAGAGAGAGACAAGTTGCACATTGAAATATTGGAAGAATAAACATATTTCTAAATCCAATATATGAATATTTTCTAAATATATTGATTTGCTCAATCTTAAGAAAAAAAAAATTATAACTTTAATTCAACATCCCGATGGATCACAATTTTTGATTGAATTATATTAAATAAAAAAATGAAGCCATAGTGGGATTTTAAAAAGAAACACCATTATAGCCTTATAGTGTTTATTTGTAGTGTGGGGTTAGTATATGTTGATGCATTAGTGCACCTTCTGTTATGAAAATTTGAAACTATTATAGACACTTATAATTCTTTTTAATTTTTCCATTGCAGTAAGGGCAGTAGAAATTATTTTATTTTTAATGATAAAGTACAATTTGGATTATAGATTATAATACAAGAAAATAAGACCTAATCCAAATAATTTATCAGTGTGTTTGGATTAGGTCTTATTTTCTTGTATTATAATCTATAATCCAAATTGTGCTTTAAACACACTAATAATTTATTTTGATTAGGTCTTATTTTCTTGTATTATTTTATTTTTAAAAAGAATCATACGTGTCTATAAGTGTTTCTCTTCTTCTTTCTTATCCCCACTCAATCACACTAAGGTATCAAGCTTGTAAAGCTTGTTGATGGTGTCTGCCGGGGGAGAGTAGAGCTCATCAATGGATGAGTCAATACAGTCAATAATATGTCTTGGGGTTGCAGGTTGGCACTTAGTACATAGTGGGAAAACCTTGCAACCAAAGTGTTTCAAATTTTCATCAGTATATATATGTAGACCATGTGTGTAGACAGGGAGACTGGAGGACACCCACAACCTGGTCCACCCCATCATCTGTCTGACCCACAACTGGAACCTCATCTACCTCGGCCTCAACAATGGCTTGGTGGTTCCCTTTGACATTGAGGTGAGGCTGTCTACCTCATGTTCTCTTAGATTATCCAACCCATCTGTCTTCATTCTTCAAGGTGTATGCAGTTTTTTGATGACTCACATTCTTTTTTTTTAATTTCATTTTTTTTACTTATATCTATATTAAAAATAAAGAAGGCTTCTCTCCTGACCACGAGCACATGTGCTTATATCTATAGCTAAAGACTAATAGACGGCATCTGGTTTTAGACATCTATTTTGATGGGAGAGGCGACCCTTTGTCTCTTTATATCTCAAGTATGTGTGGTACAGGCCACGATAATCTTGGTAGCTTTCTAGTGACTGTTTTTAATGTAAGCGCACCACATGTCTACGCATGTAGATAGCAGTTTGACTTTTGTACTTATAAATGTATCAGAGCCCTGTTTGGTTACTTACATATTCACTGGTGGGGTTGGACTTTTGCAAAAATTGGTGGGGCCATTGCTGCAATTTTTTTTTTCCTTTAGAAAAAGTGTATTGTAAAAGTCGAACTGCGCTTTTCACATGTGTAGACATGTGGTGCACTTACAGTAAAAGCAGTCCCACAACTACTACCCACCATGATTATCATGGCCTGTACCATGTATACTAGGGATTGTTAACTACAGTGCCAAGAGATACCCAACGCCAGTGTGACACTATTTGCTCCAACCACTACTGTACCAACTGAGAGATATCCAACACCAGTGTGATGTACCAGAGGAACCGATGCCTCGATGCCCTCCACTGCTCCGAGAAGCCGGTCTGCCAGGTGGTGACCACCACGGCCGGAGCCCAGCGCCTCCTGTGTGTATCCAGCTCAGACCTCCAGGTCACAGTATGGGACCTGACCTCCGGACTGTTGCTCCGCTGTATGGAGGGCACCATGGAGCCGCCTTGCTCCCTCCTCATGATGGGCACTCACCTCCTGGCTTCCTCCTCGCAGAGAAACTGCTCCATGTCCATGACATCGAGGTAGGCAGCTACCTCATCCTGCACTTTCTAACCTTTGAGTGCGGTTTTGGAATTTTCACAGTCATAGAAAATTTTGAAAATCTCTGCGACATAGTACAGTAGAACCTCCATGAGATGACACTCACGCTAAAGGACACCTCTCTATAAAGGACAGTTTTCATTGTCAGAATTACCATTTTTACTATTTAGCAACTCTCCGGTAAGAAGAGAACACCTCACCTTAAAGGACACTTTGACTCTTCAATTAGGTGTCCTTTACAGGGAGGTTCTACTGTATTTTCAGCTTTTCAAGTGGCATGTTTCCTTTATAAAATTGTGCTTTGGTAGGCTAAAAGCTTCTTTACAATCCTTAGAACAGATAAGGCACAATTTGGATTATAGACACAAGTTAATAAGACCAGATCCAGATATATAAATAGTGTGTGACATTTCAGTAACATTGTTACCATCATCAGACAAAAGTACTGAATGTAGTACTTTTCAGTACTTTTGTCTGATGATGGTAACAATGTTACTGAAATGTCACATACTATTTCTTTTTTCTTATCTTCACTCAATCACACTAAGGTATCAAGCTTGTAAAGCTTGTTGATGGTGTTGGCCGGGGAAGAGTAGAGATCATCATTGGATGAGTCAATACAGTCAATAATATATAAAATAAAAGGATTTAAAAGCGTGAATGTTTCTTTTATACATAAAACGAACTTCTACTGTCCTATAAGCCTATGTCCATAGTTTACTTGAAAACCATTTCTAAGATTCCATCCTTCAGTGTAGCATATAAAAGCAGAATGATCCAATACAGTATTAGAGCTCTGAGAAGCGGTCTGGTGGATTAAATTGGCGAAACCGCTGGGAGGGTTCACCACTGATGAGCCAAGCCCTCCCAATATATTTTTTCTTCGCAGTAAGGACAGTAGAAGTTCGTTTTATGTATAAAAGAAACATTCGCGCTTTTAAATCCTTTTATTTTATATGTATAGATGGCGCGTTATTGCTTTGTGTTAACAGTCAATAATGTGTACATACTATTTATATATTTGGATCTAATCTTATTAACTTGTGTTTATAATCTGTGTTCTACTGTATATATATATATATATATATATATATATATTGTGCATTTAGCAAATTTCTAAATCTTGATATGTAAAAAATTGTGAAGAAGACATTTTGCCACTATCGCTGCTGTGTGTGGTACAGAGCGGTAAAGTGGTGCGCAAGGTGAAGTGGTTTGCCAAATGTACCGGCCTGGCTTTGCTGGGGAACACCTTCGTGGTGGCCGCCTTCAATAAGGGCCGAGTCAACTTCTACCACCAGGCTGTAAGTCCACTGTCTACGCCGCCGCTGTTGTATGGTTTAATACTAAACTCTCTGTTTCAGAACTTTGCCTACTACGCAGAGACCTATGGTGCAGACCGCGATGGTATTAGCAGTCTGGAGGTCTCAGGGAACTTTGTAAGTTGTTTCTTATTGATTTCTCTTTTTTTATATATACAGTTAAAGATATTATACAGTGACCTGAAGACACACGAGATAACCAAGTGTGAACAACTTGTCTCCTTTAAAATAAATAAAAAAAGAGCAGCGACATCATAATATGAAACTTTCTTAAGTTTTTGACCACGATTATACTTTACTAGCCGAATGACCCGAGCAACTCCTGGGTTTTACCTGATTAAATGCTTTTATTCAAATACTATTCGTTACAATTATAAATTGGCCCCGTGGATGTTATTCTTGTATATGAGTTTTAAAAATAGTAAAAAAAAAAAAATGCATCAGCCGGGAATCGAACCCTGGCCGCCCGCGTGGCAGGCGAGCATTCTACCACTGAACCACCGATGGTTATGAGAAATGTCCATATTTGGGTATTTATTCCATTCACAAAGCAAACGGTGACAGAATTGATTAAGAATTGTTTGCTTGATTATGAAGCTGATAACTTTATATTTGATAAAATGTGTTTGTTCATATTAGTTGGTTTTTTTTATCCCATATATACCTGGTATAGACCATGATAATCATGGGGATATAGTTACTTGACTGTCTTTACTATAAGTGAACCACATATGTTTATATACAAGTAAATCTGTCTATAACGCCCCCTCTTGGGACTCATCAAAATAGGGTGCTATAGAGAGGGGGTGCTATAGACAGGTCATTTTTAATGTAAATCGCATCGCACTAGGTATTTAAAATTGGGCGCTATTTAGAGGGGGCGCTATAGACAGGTTTAACTGTACATAGAAATACAAGGTAATAAGTGTGAGGTTTCGTTAACAGCATTGTTACCATCATACAAAAGTAATGAATAAGAAAAAAATATCACAGAACGTTCTTAAATAGTTAGTACTGTGTGTGTGTAAACAAGATAGTAGATAGGAAGAAAAGGGTTCTTAGAAGTCGGTGGAAGGATGGTCTAAACCGTTGGTTTTTGACCGCTACGACTCTGGTTCGATTCCCGCATTGGGCACTTTTTTTATGTTTAAAAAAATAATGCTCCAATGGCCCCCCGATTCTTGCAAAAGTCCAACCCCGCCAGCGAGTGCAAGTAACCACAAATGGGGCTCTGGCACATTTGTGAGTGCAAAGTCGAACTGCTTTTCACATATGTAGACATGTGGTGCACTTACAGTAAAAGCAGTTGCCTACTTCTACCCACCATGATTATCATGGTGTGTACCACGTGTACTAGGGATAAGCAAAAAAAAAATGGTAAGGAAAAGATGTTGATTTTGGGACAAATTGAAAGAAGAGAGGAAGACCTTCAATAAGCTGGCTGGAAGAGGTCAAGAAAGCTACCAGAAGGTCACTAGATGTGAGTGATGGTCACTGACAGATCACATTGGAAAATATTAGTCCCCAAGTGTCAAACTTGATGATATGACTAGGAACAACAAAAATGCATCAATTCCTGAAACCCTTGTCTATCCAGACTTCTCCACATGTAAAACATCAAAGCCATTTTCCTTCAGGAAAAAAAAAAAAGTGACCGGGATTTGATCCCAGGTCATGGCTTTCAGGAAGTAATGGCTTATGCCATTTCTCTGCCAACCAAACTCAAGAGTTTTGTTTCACCGTGTTTTAACCCTGTGTGTGTGTGTTCTTTTTGCAGGTTTTTACAGGAAACCAGAATGGATGGTTGGAATCCCTCTATTTTAGAGATGACATCAAACCCACACCTTGTATGGTGAGTTATTCTATCTGTCCCTGTAATAGCTTTCATATCTTTTTTTTTTTTTTTTGAAATTGGGGATTAAAAAAAAAAATCAGGTTTAATCATTTTGGATTTTGGGATCTCAGGAAGTTGATCCCATAGAATCATATGGATCGATCATTTATGGGGAGGTTTCACCGTCTATGGCTCCACTTCTTCATCTCCGCAGTTAAATGGTGCTCAGTGGAATAAGCGACGCGGCTCAAATTGTTGACTTACCCTATTCATGAGTGTATGTGTTGTCTTTTACAGTGGTAGGCTTTTCGGTGGAAGGCTGGGTAAACCGTTTGGTTTTCGACCACTAGGACCCGGGTTCGATTCCCGCATTGGGCACTTTTTTCTGTTTAAAAAAAAATGCTCCAATGGCCCTCGATTCTTGCAAAAGTCCAACCCCACCAGCGAGTGCAAGTAACCAAACGGGGCTCTGGCATTTGTAAGTGCAAGGTCGAACTGCTTTTCAAATGTGTAGACATGTGGTGCGCTTACAGTAAAAGCAGTCGCTAACTACCCACCATGATTATCATGGCCTGTACCACGTGTACTAGGGATAAGCAAAAAAAAGGTTCTAATCTAATAAGGAAATCTTCAAAACCTTAAATATCAGGTTTTACTTACCAATACTTCAGTGGCCCACTATCATCCTTGTTGAGGTTAAAACTTTTATTTATTATTATTAACCCCCAATACACGTGGTACATGCCATGATAATCATGATGGGTAGAGGTTGACAACTGCTTTTACTGTAAGCGCACCACATGTCTACACATATGGAAAGCAGTTTGACTTTGCACTTACAAATGTGCCAGAGCCCCGTTTGGTTAATTGCACTCGCTGGTGGGGTTGGACTTTTGCAAGAATCGAACCCTAGTTGTAGCGGTCGAAAACCAACAGTTTAGACCATCCTTCCACCGACCCTCTGTTTTTTTTTTTTTGCTTATCCCTAGTACACGTGGTACAGGCCATGATAATCATGGTGGGTAGTTAGCGACTGCTTTTTTTTTTTACTGTAAGCGCACCACATGTCTACACATGTGAAAGCAGTTCGACTTTGCACTTACAAATGTGCCAGAGCCCCGTTTGGTTACTTGCACTCGCTGGTGGGGTTGGACTTTTGCAAGAATCGGAGGGCCATTGGAGCATTTTTTTTTTTTTTTAACAGAAAAAAGTGTCCAATGCGGGGATCGAACCCGGGTCATAGTGGTCGTAAACCAAACGGTTTAACCAGCCTTCCACCTTTTTTTTTCTTTTCCCTATTACATGCGGAACAGGCCATGATAATCATGGTGGGTATCTCTTACTGCAAGTGTACCACATAGTGATCATAGTAAAGTGAGGTAAACTGTGTCTCTAGCTGTGGGTGTCCTCTCAGTCAAATATATGTTGTATCAATTGTTTTGAGCAATATTGTGTAACAGCTGGAAGAGCATGAACTCGTGTAATATTTACACAAGGGGATAAGAAAAAACAATATTGTGCTTATAAAGATTTTTTTGATTCTAAGACAACCAAATCCCAAATAAGGAATTTGTATTAAACAAGGTAATAAGACCAAATAAATAAATAGTGTGACGTTTCGGTAACAGCGTTGTTGCCATCTTCAGACAAAACTTCTGAATGAGAATGTGGTAAAATGTGTGGTAAAATTTCTCATTCAGTACTTTTGTCTGAAGATGGTAACAACGCTGTTACCGAAACATCACACACACTATTTATCTATTTGGATTTGGTCTTATTACCTTGTGTTTTATAATCTATAATCCAAATTGTGCCTTATCAACAGAATTTGTATTACTTTTTACATTCACAGATGGGGTTGACTTGAGTAAAAATCGGGGGCCATTAAAGCAATTTTTTTCTTCAGAAGAAATAAGTTCCTAATTCAGGATTGAATGCCTTCACCAACCTTTTCTCCATCCCAGTAACCCAACCCAACCTGCAAGCTATCTACTTACATATATAAAGGAAATGTCCAAAAGCTTCCATAGGTCTTTTAAGGTCTTTACCCTCTTGTTATGGGGGTCAGTGGTATAAACTGTCGAATGCAGACAGCCATGATCTGGGATCCAATCCTGTATTAGGGCACTTTTTCCTTAATAAAATATTACTCCAATGAGACTCCCAATTTTTGCAAAATTTCAACCTCACCACTGGGTGCAAGTAACTAAACAGGGCTCTGGCACAGTTGTAAGTGCCAAAGTCTAACTGCTTTCTTCATGTGAAGATATGTGGTGCACTTACAGTAAAAGTATTTGCAAACTTCTACCTACCATGATTATCATGGTTACATGTGTACTGAAGATAATAAATTTTAAAAAATGAAGAGTTCTTAGTTGTTGTGTCCAATGAAGAGCCTCAGATGTCTTCATACATTTCTATCACAGCAATCATTCTCTATCTTGGGTGTGTAAAGCTGCTGTTCTGGGTCCATGTCAATTTTCTGCTGTCGTCATGTCCAATGAAGAGGTTCAGATGTCTTCATACATTTCTATCACAGCAGTCATTCTCTATCTTGGGTGTATAAAGCTGCTGTTCTGGACCATGTCAATTTCCTATTGTTGTTGTTGTGTCCAATGAAGAGCCTCAGATGTCTTCATACATCTCTATCACAGCAGTCGCAATGTCCTCTATCTTGGGTGTGTAAAGCTGCTGTTCTGGGTCCATATCAATTTTCTGTTGTCGTCATGTCCAATGAAGAGCCTCAGATGTCTCCATGCATCTCTATCACAGCAGTCATTCTCTATCTTGGGTGTGCAAAGCTGCTGTTCGGGGTCAATTGCCTGCAAAGGCTGCGGCCAAGAGTTGTCAATTCCCAGCCCGAGTGTCCAAAGTACAGAAGTCTGGTGTGTGTGATGGTAGAACGGCACCTGTGGCTCAAGGTTCTTCCTACTGAGGGATTTCCTCTATCACTTCAACAACCAGCATTACTTCCGGATCACCGCCAAGATGGAGAAGTGTCCGTGGCGGCCGTGTAAAGTGAGGTGGACTCAGACTACCTCTCTAGCCGTGAGTACCTGTCATATTTATTGTATGGATACTTAATTATTACATGCCATCTATATATAAAGAAATGGAAGCATTAAAGCACTTCTACTGTCCCTCCTCCTTCAATACCTTCCACTACTGAGGGTGGGCCACATGGTCTCTCCATATCTCCCTCCTTCAATACCTTCCTCTACTGAGGGGGGGCCACATGGTCTCTCCATATCTCCCTCCTTCAATACCTTCCACTACTGAGGGTGGGCCACATGGTCTCTCCATATCTCCCTCCTTCAATACCTTCCACTACTGAGGGTGGGCCACATGGTCTCTCCATATCTCCCTCCTTCAATACCTTCCACTACTGAGGGTGGGCCATAAGGTCTCTCCGTATCTCCCTCCTTCAATGCCTTCCTCTACTGAGGGTGGGCCATAAGGTCTCTCCGTATCTCCCTCCTTCAATGCCTTCCTCTACTGAGGGTGGCTGGCCACATGGTCTCTCTATATCTCCCTCCTTCAATGTCTTCCTCTACTGAGGGTGGCTGGCCACATGGTCTCTCCATATCTCCCTCCTTCAATGTCTTCCTCTACTGAGGGTGGCTGGCCACATGGTCTCTCCATATCTCCCTCCTTCAATGCCTTCCTCTACTGA